TTATCCATTGATTTAACTTTTAGAGCCATCAACTGCCATATTATGGGAGAATGCCTAGAAATAAGGGCATGCAGAGTACAGATCACCCCAATTTCAAGTAGGTCACAATAGAACTACCCATCCCTGGGTGTTTGGAGCACCCCCAGCACAGCTGATAATTGTGTGCAATTTTAGCCCTTGCTTCTCCTCTTTTTAATTATGTTCATTCTGTGCAAGGGTACCTTGAGAGGCATTCATACTTGGCAAGGGGAATCCCAGAAGCACATGTACACTGCTGCCCTGCATGTGCAAAACTAGATTCAAGCTGTAGCAAGAAGGAAGGCAAACAGCATTTGTGGTCAGCTCAGCCCAGAAAGTGGGGCTTTGGGCAGCGGCAGCAGTAGTAGTGAGGACTTGCTAGCCAACCCCCGTCAGCTGCCTACCTGCAATTGGGGTAGCATTTGGGAATTAGATCTGCTGGTCCCTCCAGCTTCTCCTGAAATGGCTTGGTCTGAGACTGGACCAACAACTGCAGCCAGTGAGCACTTGTCCCAGTGGTAACATGGGCCCCATGAAAGCAGCCCCCAAAGCAGTGAGGTTCAGCCTTAGCTGGCCTAGTAAGGTCAAATTCCTTTTAAAAATTACTGTCTCCCTCAGAGAGAGAGAGCGCAAGCGAGCATTACTCTGTCTTCCCATTCTCTCCAGTATTTAAAGGAGATAGTGTTTGCATGAATCCATGGCGATATATATGTGACTTGGCTTACTTTCTTGAGCAAACATTCCTGCATACGTTTTGAGATTTCTGCCATGGATTCCCCGATTGTCTTAAGGACTAGTCTCAGTCTCAGCTTTCTATAAAGTCTTCTAAATAACTCCTCAATAATATATTGCCAATACTTTGTAAAAATCCCATGCACACTAATGGTGTGTGCATGTATGTGTATTTCTATCAACCCGTGGCTAAGCTCACCTGCTTGAGTTATCTGCTCTGCAGTGCACTTTTAGCTCTTCCTTTCTACTTGTGGCACTCTTGGAGCCTAGATTATGTTAGCCATCACAAATCTTCCAGTCATGGGAATCATTGGTGTCAGGTCACTTGTCAGCGCACACAAGAACTGTACACCAAGGGATTCCTGAACTGTGGTCATGGTGTGTCTGTGGATTTGTGGTTGAAGATGAAAGATGGCACAGCCATCGTATTAAATGTTAATTCTGGTTTTTAATTGTATTTATATCATTTCTTTTATTTCTTAATCACTCAGCATCCAGCACAATGCATTACACTTGCTACAATAGGCAGAAAAATAATTAAGCAGTCCCCCAAGAACCTCAGCAATTTTCAAGTGATCTGTGAGACAAAAAAGGTAGGAAACCATGCTGTACACTAAAGAAAGAGTTTTTGGTGGGTTCACATTCCTATACTGTGTGACTTTTCCAGCTAACAGACTCTGGAAATCTCCAAACCTGAAATCTTCCACTGTTGTCCAAAAAGCAACACAGAGATTACAAAGAGAGTCCCTATGGTATAATGGTTAGAATGCCAGATTAGGACCTCAGATATCAGTGTTAAAATCCCCACTCTGCCATGAAGTTTACTGGGGTGCTTGTGCTAATAGCTCTCTCTCTCTCCCTAACCCACCTCACAGGGTTGTTGTGAACATAAAATGGCTGAGAACCATGTATTTCACCTTCAGCTCCTTGGAGGAAAGGCAGGATATAAACGTAAAAGTTGTGTTTGAATATGAGATCAGTATTTCCAGTTATGTTACACAGGGCCTGAGGGCAAACAGCACATTGGAAAGGACAACCCTAAGAACCATACAACTACAGTAGTGTGCCTGGCAAGGATGTTTCTTCTTCCCTGATACCGCCTCCTCCATTTCTGTCTCCCAGACAAATACCAACAGCCCAGTTCCTTCCAAGATTTAGGTGCCATGAGGGAATAGCAAGCTCAGTGTCACAATGAGGCAGAAGGCTATAGCCTTTGTTTTTGTAACCTCAACTAGTTTCAAAAGCTACTATTCCTTGTCAACAGGCAATGACGCCCAGGGACATTTTGTGAAGCACTTGGTGGAGGCATGGGGTGGGTGGGGAGCTATTAACTTTTCCCACAAAAACGGGGTGGGGTGGGGAAGCACACACACTTTCTACAAACAGATATAACAACACTTTCATTTGTTGAATGAATGTGCTCAAGAATTAACCAGTGAGAAAGAAAAAATAGTTTTTGAGGGGCAAGAACAAGAGCTGCACTTGATGTTTACAGTTTGCAATGCCGGTCAATGCTTTAGATGCTCCCCAAGACAAGGAATAGGCAGGGACAACCCTTGAGTGCATCCTCCCGCACCTACAAGTAACCAAGACGCTCTACCTTCCTTCCTATTAATTCGCAGCACCCACCAGCTCTTGATACCGCGCGTTCCAAAACCCCAACACTGCAGGCTGGAATCCCGGGCTGCTAGTCTCATGTACACTGACGCTGAGAAAACGGGGAGCGGGCAGAGAAGAGGGGAATCACCTCCACACGTTCCATGATTCCACTCTGGCTCCCGAATACGGCGGGGCAGGTAACCGGACTGAAGAGGTCGCGTCAGGCGATCTCCATGACGCGCCCCAGGTGGGAATCGGGGCACCCCGGCGTCACCCAAGAACGAGGGTCTGCGCCCCATTTTTGGGAGAGCTCGCCCACCCGCTCACCTGCGGCCGAAGATCTTAAGCCCCGTAAACCTCTTCTTGCTGTGTCTCCGCGCGGGGACCTTCTCCGGCTCCGGACACATGGAGCTCTCCGAGCTAGCGGAGGACGGCGAGCTGGAGCAGGCGGCGGCCGCGGCACCACCCCCACCGGCAGCGCCGCCGCCGCCCAAGTCCCTCTCGGTGCCCTCCTGCGGCTCCATGCGCCTGCCGGCTGCGCTGCTCGCTCACCTGCCCGGCAGGACGCCAGTCATTCCCGCGGGACAAGACGGCGGCGATCGGGCTCACAAGGAAGCGGAGGCGGAGGCAGCCTCTCGCCCGAGTCCATGAATCCGTTGCCAAGGCGGGCGAGAGGCGGAAAGCGGCGCCAGGCTGCCTCGTCCGAGGGCGAATCTGCGGGGCAGCTCCCCAAGAACAGCAGCAGCAGCAGTCAACTGGCGCGCCACAGCTTCGCGCGTCCCCGCGGTGGGCGCTGCATGCCCAGCTCAAGCCTCGGCTGCGATCCCCGGCGCGCCTCGTCGGGAAACTGGAGCGCTGCAGGAAGTATCAGCAGCAAGCAAGGTAAGCGCCCGAGGACCCCAGATAGCTGCCCGGGAAGCTGCCTCCTCGCAGCCCGCACACCCAGGCAAACGCAGGCAGCCAGCTCCACCTGCCGTTCCCACGTGCGCACTGCATGCGCAGCAGCCGGCGGCGGAGCGAGGGGCGGGTCGGAATAACAGCGGTCGCGCAGGGAAGGCCTGGAGGAGCGCCCTCCCCTTCAGGCACCCGGCGGGAGAAATAGAACTGACACACGGACGCCTCTCTGCTCAAGGAAGACTAGGGGATAGATCTGGGGGCAGCGTGGCCTGTGCAACTGTAGGGGTTAGTTGCATCCATGGGGATCCGCAGGCCAGCGAGGGAATTCCTTCTGGGATACTGGCCTAGGACTGTGGCCCAGGGCTGGCGGCAGCGCCACGGAGTGACGAAGAAGTGCTTTTGCTCTAAGCATCTGGATTTGTCGGACCTAGCAGAGTGTTATCACCGTTCTGCCGCTGCTAATGGGAGCCTGCCGGCTCATTTGCAATCTAAGGCCACGTGCCTGAACAGAGCAAACGGATTGCAATACTTTATAGGGAAAGGAAGCTAGAGAGAGAATACGTACTCGAACAAAAAGTTTAATTCGGTTTGGACCAAAAACACAAAGCGAAGTATGAATCAGAGGTGCCAACTTGAATAAAATATTGTGCCCCACATACACACACTATTTGAATGGGAACGCACGTCAACTTTGTGGGTGCCCAGCCCCCTCAAATATTTTAAGGGGGCTGAAGACCCCACGGCACCTAAACATTGATTCCTATGGCATGGCAATAACGTTTGGCGCTGGTGATCACCTACATTGCAAAGGCACTTGGTATCAGTTACCTATGGAAATACAGTGGTACCTCGGGTTAAGTACTTAATTTGTTCTGGAAGTCTGTTCTTAACCTGAAACTGTTCTTAACCTGAAGCACCACTTTAGCTAATGGGGCCTCCTGCTGCTGCCGCGCCGTCAGAGCACGATTTCTGTTCTTATCCTGAAGCAAAGTTCTTAACCTGAAGCGCTATTTCTGGGTTAGCGGAGTCTGTAACCTGAAGCGTATGTAACCTGAAGCATATGTAACCCGAGGTACCACTGTATCCCTGCAAAACAATTTGAGGTCTCCCCCGTGAGCCAGGACTTGGCTTGTTTGGTTTGTGCCTCCATTGGTGAAAACTAAAGACATCAAGTGTCTCCAAGCAAATTTTCACATTTTGTGTATTTCCCCACTGCTGCCTTTAGCCTAAGCTGCCCTCTGTAATTCCTGGAGCCTAGCCTTCAGCCTTATGTGAGTGCAATTTGGAACATTATGAATGAGCCAGGGCGCAACTTCCTCCTAGAGGCTTCACTGTCCTGCTTCTCTGGGATTACTCCCTGGAATTTCCAGATTAGATTAGACAAATAGGACCTGCAACAACAAAAATTAAGTGTACTGGTAACTTCCTAGCAGAGTTCCTGCCAGCCATCAAGTAATGCTCTCCTCCAGAATGCTGTGTTGCATTCTATTTCACTCTGCACCACCACCACGAATGCTGACTGACGCTCAGCATTCCATAGGGCTGTTCTTTAAAGGTGTGCCCCATTAATTGTTGTATTTTCAAAAGGATTTTCAGTTGGTTGGTTGGTTGGTTGGTCGGTACTTCTGCAATCCTTGGGGTACATAAAACACAGGAAGCTGCATTATACTGAATGAGACAATCAGTCCATCTAGCTCAGTATTAACCACATTGACTTGGTAGCATTTCTCCAGGGCTTCAGGAGGGAGTCTCTCCCAGCCCAGTCTAGGCTGGGATTGAACCTGGGACCTTCTGCATGCAAAGCAGAGGCTCTAGCACGGAGCTATGGGCCTCCCCCCAAATATACCAGTCATTCTGATACCTCTTCTTTTTTTTCTGTGGTTCTGTTTTGGCTTCATTTCTGTTGACATCACTTAATTTCACTAACATGGAAATGATTAGATTTGCATTCCCATATTCTTCAAAACTCTCAGCTATTTTGATTAATTACCGGTATTTTTCTCTTTGGAGTTACACTTGTGTGCCTCTATTTTGCCTTACATTATGGCAGTTCTTCATGGCAGCAGGGCTGTATGTGAGCAGCACAAATCCCAGCTAAGGCTTGTGATCACAGTCTCACTATAAATTGGAACAGGACAGAACAAATTGCCCACAACATAACAAATTGTGGCCCACAAAACATTAGCTTGTTAACTTCCTGCTCATGGCAGGAAGAATGCTTGTGACTTGCATTTGGAAACATCTTGAGGGAGTCACAACAGGAGCCTGATACAGCAGGTTTCGTTCCTAGCTATATCAGAGAAGCTGACACAAAAAATTCACTTGTTCAATGGCTAAACAAAGCAAGACACATTCTATTCAGTGTGGTTTAATTTTCTTTTATTAGGGGCAGATGGGGCTTGTCAACCTTCTCAGTGATGGAATGCCCTCCCATCAGATGTCAAACAGATAAACAACTACAGTGGTACCTCGGGTTACATACGCTACAGGTTACATACGCTTCAGGTTACACACTCCGCTAACCCAGAAATAGTGCTTCAGGTTAAGAACTTTGCTTCAGGATAAGAACAGAAATCGGGTCCGGCGGCGCGGCGGCAGCAGGAAGCCCCATTAGCTAAAGTGGTGCTTCAGGTTAAGAACAGTTTCAGGTTAAGAACGGACCTCCGGAACGAATTAAGTACTTAACCTGAGGTACCACTGTATATGACTTTTAGAAGAGGCAGCCCTGTATAGGGAAGTTTTTAATGTTTGATGTTTTATTTTGCTGGAAGTCGCCACAGTGGCTAGAGCAATCCAGTCAGATGGGCAGCATATTATCTATTATTGTTATTATTATTATTATTAAAAGTTCTGTAGCATAATAGGCCCTTTATCTTGCACAAAGCCCACACCCCCTGCTTTGTAATCTCTTAAACTGTGAGGCTGGATTTCTGGTTCCTGACTGTGACACAGCTGATACAGCTTTGCTTCAACTGAATATGCTCAATATGTACTCGTGGTGTTTTTTTTTAAAAAAAAAAATGTTGTTTGGATTCTTGCAAGGACTACATGAGTTATATTTGAACTAAGATTTATTTTTCTGCATCTTTATATGGTATAGTTTCATTGAAAGCCTTAAAAAAAAGTTGGCACAACCCTAGCATGTGTTTTGACATCTTATGCACACAGAACCTGGCAAGAAAAGGAGGTCACCTGGTCCAGCCCATCAAATCTTCCTAAGGGGAAAATAATCTCATACCAAAGTGCAGAACTATTATCCAAGTTTACAAATCTCCAGTAGATCTCTTACCTAGTGTTATAAATCTCTGCTGTCTCAGAGGTCCGATAAGTGTAACAGCAATCAGTATGAAGACACCACTTGGATTAAGAGTTTTGATGCTTCAAGCAAAAAGCCAGGAAAAGAAAGATGGAGAGGGGTGGGAATCCCAAGTTAACCACTGAACAGTATTGGGGAAAAATGTATATCCCCAAATATGGTAGCCACTTCCACTCAGGCTGCCCTCGAAGACTTTTCAAGCAGCAAATGTTCTTATAATAATAATTGTATTATTTATATGCCACCCATTTACATAGCCAAAGCCAGATTATGCATGGTGCAATTGGAGTGATTGCCCCCGGGGCTGTGCCTTTCATAATTATTATTTTTAAGTAAGTCTCTAGCACTTCCAGAAGGCAAGTTATTAATAAAAATGTGCAGCCTGACTACAGATAAAGAGTTTCCTGAAGTCAGGGACACAGGTTTTGCATTGCTGTGTTTCATCATGCCACTGCTTTTAAAATCCTTGCCATTTCATGAGACAGAGCATAATGAATCATACTTGAGTTATCCTTGCAGCTTGCCCAGACCAACTCAGATGTTCTCGGGAGCATTCAACTAAGAAACGATTCCATCTACATGAGTGCTTTCAAGGGGATATATTCAGACATCTTCAGTGGGTCACAGGGTACGTGTGTGAGGGAAGATGCAGTACAGTGTGGTAGAGTGGAATGTATGGAGGGAACAGCAACACATTATGTTTGCGGCTAGACATTCCCCTCTCCCTCCATCCCATTGCTTCTTGCTCTGAATAGTTTCTTGCTGTCTGTTTTGCTTTTCCCCTCTCACCTAGATCTGGTATTCAAAGGCCTACCACTCTGTGGTTTTAGAAATGGAAAGCTACGTACCACTTTGCCGTATCGCTCAACATGCAGACTATTTATGCTCACCAAGGGAGATGGTGACTTCACCTAGGAAACCCACACCTGTTCCCTGGAAATGGGAGCAGCTGTCAACATCATCACTCCCTCAAACCCACACAACACACACACACCTCTTTCCTTTTTTGCAAAGCAAATGAACTTCACAGCCAGCTCCTTCCTTTCTTCTTGAGTTTTCACACATCAGCTCACTGGGAGCCCAGCACAGAAGCAAGCCAGGCCAGCTCAATACATTTTGCTGCGTGAGGCAAAAGGCAAGTGCACCCCCCCCCATTCCATGTAAAGAAGCCAACAGGGCAGGCAGCTAAATCTTACTTTCAATACTGGCAATGGGGTAGCACCCTCTACAGCGCCTGAGAGCAGCAGCTAGTGTCAAGGGTGCAGATCAGATTGTGTGGCACCCTCGTCTTGGTCCACTTCCCGCCCTTCAGCTTCTGCCATCCAAAGCAACTGTCACACAATATTTACATGCCACTTGTTAATACCTTAAAGCAGTTCACAGAAATAATAATACCATTTCATCAGTAAAAATGTCCTGCCTGACAACAGCGTGAGCCCTGGATGGGAGCAAGTTTGGAGAGCATCCCTGGGGAGGGGAGAGAGGTCATTGATGGAAACCTTCCAGTTCCAACCACAAAAAGAGGCAGGGGGAAGAGCCCAAAACACACCCTCCTTACTCCCCACAACAGTATCTAGGAAGAAATGAGGATACCCCCTTTGCAGCTCCATCACAACAATGACTTCTTGAGGGGAAAACATTCAGGATTCCTGGAACCACATTTGCTTCCCCACCCCCATTTCCTCTCCTCTCAGGACACCCTGCATCCTACCAGCCTCTCGGATATATGTTAAAGCCATTAGCACGGGAGGAGGAGCAGCCTGGCCGCCTTGTCCCCTACCCCACACAGGCCTCCCTTCCTCCACGCAGGCGGCGAATGGCCCCAAGGGGAGGAAGGGATTCCATGGCAAAGGCCCTTTCCCTCCACAATAGCAGGATGTAAACAACAGCTCTCCGTGCGAGAGACCAGGGCGTCAGCCCAGACGGCGAGAGGAAATCAGCAGAGTCCCAGCCTTGCCGGTCGGCAGTACCTGGCGGCGGTGCTTTTCCCGGGGGGGCTCCGCGGGACATCCCACGACCGGTGCCACCACATCTGCCCTTCGGGGACGGGCAGGTCCTCCTCAGACCACCTCGGACCTCCTCTGCACGGCCTCGCCGCCCCTCTTCCCGCGGCCGGGCTGCGGAGTCATTCCCGGCAGGGCAGACCCTCGCCCGCAGCTCCTTGCCATCAGGTCCGCAGCGCGGGGCACACTGGCTTTGTTCGCGCACTCTCTCTCCACCCTGTTCCTCTTTTTATGGGCTTCCTGAAAGGGTAGCAGGCAGCCTGAGACGGCCGCCGCCGCCGCTGCACCACGCTGTGCAAAGCATACACGCGCACCGATTCCCAGCCCTGAGCAGCCCACGTTGCTTCTCAGGCGAGAGAAGCCTCGACGCCGAAGCCTCTCTGCTCAGACTTGGGCAAGTGGCAACAAGTTCCCGTCGTACAAGTCTCTCTCGGGTGGCGAGAATTCTCCCTCAGGGCAGAAGCGCCTCCTTACGACAGCGGAGGAAACTCCTCACAGGCTTTCCCCCGTTGAGAAATGGCCATCTGAATGCGTTAGGTCAGCTACTCTGGCTACACACCACAGAGAGGCCATGGTATTTCTTCCCTCGCTTTGGGAACAACCAGAAGCACGCTCGCTCCCCTTTCTGTCCCTTGCCCTGCTAACCAATGAAGGGCGTCGGCGTACTAAACACTTTGACCTAAGACGTTTGGCTGCCTGGTTGGGGGGGACAGCAAAGAGACCCCTTCTCAGCAGCAGATTTGGGGTGGGGTGGGGCAGATCCTCTGCACAGGGTGCCAAGCCGAAGGGGCTCAAAACTGAGAAGTTTCATAATTGAGAAGATCTATTTGGGGACGCCAGAGTTTGGCCTCGCACAGTGTAGGGAAATACCGGTAGATCTTTTGGGCCTGATTTGTTAGTCTTTTTGAGAAACTGGTGGGATTCCTGAGTACTGAAGCTGAGCACAGGTGTCCCTTATTAGGCCTTCAAGGCTAAGGCTAATGAGAGTGGGGTGATCCAAAAACCATGACGGGAGGGGTGAGTGCTCATTATCTGTAAAGCTCTACCAATTAAGCCCTATGATTGGGCATATCAGGTCTTATGATTCGAGTCAGTTTTGCTTAAGCTAGAGGTTTGTGCTATTGTAAGACGGCGCTCATCATGCAATGATCGCTGCCACCAGTCATGCTGCCAAACTGAATTCTGTTCTATGCTCAGGAACCTCTTGCTCAACTTGCACCACCTTGAGTGCTAGCTGATTAATAACCAGACAAGACAGTCTTGTTGCTTTCTTTGCTTCTGAGTAGCTTTAACTTGTGTTGTCATTTGAAGCCTTTTTCTTCGATGAACCTTGTTTTTTAAATAAAGTTTTTATGTGTTTTTGAAGAACGGCTTTTTGTTTGAGCTCCTGGACCTGTTAACCTTGGCTGCACCTTAGAGACAGGCCTTTCCTCACACACAGGGTGCCATATTACGAAAGATTACCAAAGTCCACCCCTGACCCTCTCCTAAGTAAAGGTACATAGTACCAGTG